AAAAAAAAGCCTAGACCAAAGAGTGTGATGGAAGTTAAGCCATTTACAGGGATGCTCAACTCTCCTTCCTAATTTTGCACACAATTACAAGAAGCCTCTGTCTCCTTTGAATAGTTAATATGCCAGGGTACAATGTGGGAATGGTCAGAGATACTATTATAGGCATTTGAAAGAGTAAGCAAAGTCACAAGAGGCTCACCAGTCTTAAAGTATTGCAACACAGAGCAGCTAGTGCTACAGCATGATGCCTCACAAGATCAGCAGAGGCACAAGAACAGTTAGTAGAGCTTTTGCTAGCAGAGCACTGACAGAGCCAGAGAGGGGATGTACTCAGAAAAGGAGCTGCTGGCAGTGCTATTCGAAATAAAATGGTTTTGTTGGGCACCAGATGGGCATGCAGTTTGATCACAAACTATTAGAAAGTATTATGAGACTCCAGTGCTAGACTGTGAAGATAAGGTGCCACCCAGGAATGTCACCACCAATGGTAAAGCAGGGGTTACTTTACAGAGTGCAGCATAGATAGACTCTTTGGATCAGGAGATAGACTTTACCAATGTGGAAAGGTACTTTTGCATTTCTGATAAGAGATTCCAGGAAGCTCAATCAAGCACAGTGCAGTAAAGTGGTTTGCATTTCAAAGTCAGGCTGAAAGGAGCAAGTGCCTCAGGAGGCATCCCCGTGAATTCCTGAACTTGAGGGATGAAGTGCTTGTAAAATAGGATGTTTAAAGGGACTGAGCAGTAATCCCAGCAAATTTGACAACAAACTTCATAAAGCAAGTACGTGCTTCACACCTGAGAAGAGAAGTATGCTTGAGATAGGCCAGGAAGCCAAACTTAGGTGTCCAATTGAGAGCATTTTTTTTTTAAATTAAAGTGCCAAAAATTTATATTTCAACAAGGAAACATCACAAATTTCACACTTAAAACATCAGCAAAAATTATCACACTGACAGGGATCAAAAAGGACTTGAAATTACAACTTAATCACTTTAGCATAACATTATACACCATGAACGAGGCATGCCTCTGTGGGGGGCACAGCTGCACTGGTGGTGGCGGAAGCACAGTGGCAGGAGCGTGGCAGTGGTAAGTGCAGAGCTCCTGCAGATCCCACTGGCGCTTGTGGCGGCGGGGGGTGGCGAGCGCCAACCAGGGGTCAGCGACCACCTGCAGGCGCTGCCGGCAGTGTCAGCCAGCGGAGATTGTGGACCGCCTGCAGATGCCACCGGTGGTGTTGGTAGCGGGGTGGTGAGCAGCGACCTCCCACAGGCACTGCCGACAGTGTCAGCAGTGCCTTTTTTAGGGGGTGCACTGCCATGCTCAGGGGATGCACCTGCACCTGTGTGCACCCCCTATGCATCGCATGCCCTCGCTACACGTCACCCCTATTAAACACATGTCCACAACTGAACATAACAATTGTCAGTTTTATATCAGCAAAAGGATGTTCCTTAGACACATAAGCGCCAATAAAAATCATGAGGTCTCATTCACAAGCCATAAAGGGACAGCACATATACTGTCCTTTCACTAACTTATACTCTGCCCCCAATTATCCCATACCCAGTCTAGGTTGAAACAGATGTCTCCAATCCACACAACTTTCCAGAAACTCCCTTTCCCTTCCCTTCCCTTCCCCTTTTTCTCCTCTTTCTCCCTATAATATTTTAACTCATGTAAGCTCAATTGTAAGCACTCTGTTGTTGAAAAGCAGAACTCCTCGGTGATTAACAGGCAATGGACTTTCCATAGTGCTGCTTCAATACACGCTATCAAAGCCCTGGCTTCCCATGTCTCATCAGTACCCTTAGTTAAACCAGATAACATGTTCTCACAGGACACCCCTGTACCCCTTCCTGTCCTTTTCAAAAACAATTCCAGCTTTCCCCACACCCTTTGGGCATAAAAGCACTCCCATAAAACATGGAAGACCGATTCATCTTTGTTGCAGAGTTCCCGTGGACACTTAGGTGACCTTACCAAACCGTATCGGTGTTGTACCTCTATCACTGGCAAAATTTTCCTTACTGCCCCCCCATGCTAACTCCTTGTGTTCCCCCCTCCATTCCCTCCCTACCACCCCTTTCCATACCCTGCTAACCAGTTCCCTTTCTAGCTCCCCCACATCTGTCACTCTCTCCCTCTCCCTCAAGACCGTAAAAACCTTCCCTCTCTCTCAAGACCTTAAAAACCATTTTTGCGTCCCCCAAGCCATTGAGGCCCAGTCCCTCTAATCCCAGTCCTTTGACAAAATTTCCTAAGTGTGCATACTGTATTGAAATCCTCCACACCCACACCCCTTTCCACCCACTCCCATACAAGCCCAGTCTCCTCAAGAACCTGCCCACCCAAAATCTACAAAAATTCCCAACTATTCCCATTTTTCCCCGCACCTCCCTCACTACCATTTTCAAAAAATGCACATAAACAAAGGTCTCAATATTAGATAAGCCCCGTACAACTCCTTCCTTGCCACTGTCTCTATTCCCCGCCCCCCATTTTACCCTACCCTCCAATTCCTCCCACACCCTGTTACCTTTCCCCTGGCTGTCCATTAACACCCCCAGTATCTTTAGTCTTCCCTTTCCACCTGCAAACCAGATTTCCCCAAATTACTCCAATTCCCCACTGCCAAAACCACACTTTTCCCAACATTAATCCTTGGTCCCAATAAGTCACCAAATTCCTGTGAGTGGTCCATAACCCTCTCCAGCGACACCTCATCCCTCACCACCCCCATCATCCACGTAGAATAAACTTTTCACCTCCCTGCCTCCCAGCACCCTCACCCCACTAATCACCCTATCCCCCCTAATCTGCTGGGCCAGTGGCTCAATGGCACACACACACACACACACACACACACAGAGTCCTGATGACAGTAGACACCTCGTCTCACCCCCGAATCTACCCCGAAAGCCTCCCCCAAGAAACCTCGCACCATAACCCTGCTCATCACCCTTCCATACATTGCCCTTACCCACCCTACAAATTTCCCTGGCAAACCCATCGCTCCTCCAATACCCTAAACAAAAAGGCATGCCCAATACTGTCATAAGCTTTTTGCAGATCTAACTTCACTACGGTAGTGTTCCACTTGCGCTCGCAGATGTACGCGAGCATGTCTCTGATTACCCAGTGAGTCTGCACTGTCCTCCTCCCCGCCACTGCACACGTTTGCTCCCCTCTTACCACCTGTGCTAACACCCCTGCCAACTGTGCCACTAGTATCTTGGCAAATAATTTATAATCCGTGTTTAATAACATGATTGGTCTCCAGTTTTTAATGTGCTCTCATCCCTCTTTCTTATAAATTAAAACCACCACACCTTGTGCAAACCCCTCCCCTATCTGTCTGTGGTCCATAATTTATCTAAAGAGTGCCAACAAACCCTCTTTCACTAGATCCCAGAACTTCAAATAAAATTCCACTGGTATCCCATTGATCCCAGGTGTTTTATTCTTTGGCATCATCTTCAATACCTCCCACATCTCCTTTTCCATTAGCTCTCTGAACATTCCCTCCTTATCTTCCTCCCTCACCCTGGCTTCCAGCCCTCCCACCCATCCTTCCCATTTTCCCGCTCTGTCTCTTTCCTTTCAAACAAACCCTCATAATATTTTGTCACCTCTCGGCAGCACTTCCCCCGAGTCCTCCATCCATTCTCCCCCTTCTGTCCGTACCCGTCTCATCTCCCGCTTCATCCTTCAGACCTGCAAAGAAAAATACCTCCCTCATTCCTCCCTCTCTTCAACCCACTCTTCCTTTGTCAAAAACATCCGTTCTTTCATCCACTTCTGAAACCAATTTTCCACCCCCTTCTTCACCTTTTCCCATTCCCTTTTCACCTCTTCTCCCCATCCCAGTTGTGCTGTCAAACTTTGTCCCTCCTCTTTGTGCATCCCTGTTACAACTCCCCCCCTGCCCCAGAGTCATTGCCTTCAGTGTTCTGTATGTCTTCCTCCGCCTGGGCATCCTCTTGCAACTCAGTTAGTAGCCTCACTACCTCGACAATGGAGTTCTGCTGATGTTCCTCCTTTGGGGTTTCTTCCACAGTAAAAGTGTCCATCTCGAACCTGCTATCTCCAGTCTCCTTCTCCACCTCAGTTTCCCCTTCCTCTTTTGCTGGCTCTCTGGCACAGTTTGCATACAAGTCTGGACACTGTTTGCGAACATGTCTCGGCTCCCCATAAAGATCCCATTGCAATTTCCCCTTCCACACAGCTGCTCAGTGCCCATTTCCACTGCACCTGTAACAAACAATAAGGCTGCAAAAGGCAGCCAGATGGCCTTCCAGGACACATCGGCTGCACTGCTTTGACTGTCCATGGTAAGTAAAGTATCTATGGTGGAGCCCGATGGTGACTACTGATGGGAGGTGCTGCATCCCCCAGGGTTTTCTGGCTCCTCTTCAAGTAAAGCCCTCACTTCCATGCCCCAGTCCATATTTTCCACTGATCCAGGACACTGTCTACAAATAATACCTGCTGTACATGCGATGCAAGCCACTGCAAAATGACCTCTGGTTCAAGCATATCAGTGCATCATCTTGAAAAATAGGATTATCTCTTGTCTTCTGTCCCAATTTGAGCCTCAACCCGTGAAGATCTTCCCGGTCTGCCACTTTCTTGTAGCATTCTCAGGCCATGGTAGTGGACCCCTTAACACCTGCATTCAAATGAGTAGCTTTCACCCACAATTTCATTGTTCTTTTGGGGTCATTTTCTTCCCACAAAATATAGTCTGATTCTTCCAGGACCTTCCCCACAGTCTCTGCCCTCTCTCCCCAGCTGCTTTCATTCTTCGCTGAATGGCCCTGGCTTTTGCTGCCAGCTTCTATCTTCTCTGTTGTCTTGTTCTGTTCAGCATCTCCAACCGTTAACTTGTCATGTCACCTCACCAGAATCCATTGCCCCCACTCCTCCTCCACCCCAACTCCCTGCTCCCTATGCAATGTCAACCTCAATGGAAGACCCCACTTGTCACCACCCTCTGATCTCTCTACTGTTGCTGCCTTCCTAAATGACTGCTGCTCTAACTCCTCCACTTTCTCCATCACTCTCCCTTGCAGGGTCAGCAGGCCCAGAGTGCAAGGGGTGAGCCTTGCCCTGGGAAAACCACCTGCTAGATCATGGTATCTCCCCTGTCAGGTAAGTATAAGCCTATATGGGATAGTGCCAAGACCATCGTGACCAACAGCAGAAGGACACTCTGTGGCAATACCTCTTCTAAACCAAGGTGTCACAGAACCCTGGGATATCACAAGATCCTTTTAAGACTGTCATAGGGTGCCACTCAATATTAGTATTGTTAGGTGTGCAAATGCCTGCACACAAATCACAAGATAAACCCGGAGATTTCCAATAGGAATCTATAGTGTCAAAAAACATGCCATCTTGTTGTGGTCTTTCTGAATCCTTTGCAAAAGAATTGCTCTATTACTCTTCAGTAGTCAAGACACTGAAAGTTAAGAACTGACATTTTCTGAGGTCTACCTTGAGTCTAAAAGGGTTGAGAACCACCTCTTCACTGCATCATGAAATCTCAACCTCAATCAAGGAAACTACACAGGAATAGAAGATTATTATGCCAATTCCTGGGAAGAAGACTATTCAGAGAATAGTCAGGCAAGAACAGTGATCCGGAAACTGATGGCCCATTTTGTGAGGTGTGGCATATCGGATATACTACTTTCTGACAATGGAGCTCAGTGCACTATAGCAGAATTTAGAAAATTCAGTGCCAAGGGTAATTTGAGCACAAAACAACAGGAAGAAAGAGTTGGCAGAAAAGACTGCCAAGATTTGGATTTACAGGGTGGATTCCTGCCTGGCAATGCTGACCCATCAAACAACACCCCCTTGCCCATAGACTGATGGACAAGATTCTGGTCCTTCAGAGAGGTAGTCTGATGCAACCCAGGATAGGGACAATGGACAATACATAAAGATGGTTAAAAGACAGCTTTGCTGCAACAGATAAGGACCTGCAGTCACTATGCATAAGTGAGCAATGGGTGAATGAATCACCAAACAACCACACACATGACAAAAGGCAAACAGGCCTTGTGGTATACTTAAGACTTGGGACAATGATGGTGACAAGATCAAAGACAACACCTGGCACACAGTGCCTCTGGAACAGGGAACCAAAGCTAGGACCAAGGGACATAGAGCTTTAGATGCCAGATAACTTGAGTCAAAGGAAAAAAAAAGGAACACAAAGACCAACCGAAAAACCCTCTTAACCAGATTAAGGTGGGAACAGGATGGAAGTAAGGTCCTCACTAGCAGTGACAGCAAACTAGAAGAATAGTTCAAAGACCAACATACTTGAAGGAATACTAAATCTACAAGGTCACAAACTGGTGGTAAGAGTCATATCCCCCAATTTGACTATGCAATGGTAATTTCCTACCCCAGCAAATTGGCAAATGCTACCACATGAAATTGTTAAAAACAAAGATATAGCAAGCAGAATGAAACTTGGAGAAAGGAGCAAGGGTTGTGGGAGGGAAGAGTTTGAAGACATCAAAAGAAAGCTAACAGTCTATGTGGCACATGGCTAAAACGCTAGCACCAGTTGCAGCACCTCTGTAAAACGGTGTCTTCCAAATACACAAACTTTTCACATAGTCACCTAGCAGATCACACAGGAAATATTCATGAGGTTCAGTAAGTCGCATCTGATACCAGCAAACTAACTGGCTTAGATGTCTGACCTTAAGTGAAAAATCTTCAGCTGGACCTTTGTCAGGGGTGACAATTGTAGTACTCTGTTTTTAGGTAGCACTTTTTATTCAAGGATCTTAAAATACTTCATCAAAACAGGCAAGTATTATCCTCACTTTAGAGAGGGGGGAAAACCAAGGTGCGGAATGATGACTTGCTCAAAAGTCACCAAATGAGTTGGTGGCAAAGCCAAGAATAAAGCCCAGGCCCAGACTTCCACCTTTCCAGAGTTTGATCTTAGCACACAGTTACGGGCGAACTAAAATAACCTGGCAAAATTTAATTGATTTTCAAAGAAATGCCCTTTCATGGACGTGTGCTCCGATGTGTACTGATTGCACAGCTTGAGCAATTAAGAAAGTCCCTTTGATCCTGGAAGATATAGTACAGTAGAATATGTGGGTAAGCTTTTATTTTTAATGCATCTATTTATGAACGGTGGACCACTTGAGAATTCTAAATTTAAATTTAAATGTGAACATACACCTAAAATTGTCCTTATCCATACGCATGTGGACTAACAAACAATCTACAAATAACACATGCAAGGTTTCATATCAAGTTTCCAGTGCTTCCTGCTATACCAAAAATACCATAACAATAGCTTCTTGTAGCTTTCTACTTCCACTTCCAGTAAAGCCAAAGCATGAAACTTCAGAGCAGCATAAAAATAAAAAAATAAAATGTATGGGAGGAAAGATCAACTTGGGATGTGAATAAATAAAAAGTTATGCTGTTTTAAAGCAGTGATGGGAAGGAATTGCCACAGTGAAACGGATTCTATTATACCTCCTTTGTCTGCTCACTCCTGTTCCACGGAAGGTAGAATTAAATTGAGGCAACTAACCCATAAATGGAACTGGGTGAAATGTTTAGCTTCATTTACTGTGAGACAGGAGTGAACAGGAATGACAGTTACAACAGATCAGCTGATGCCCACTTGTGAGAGGCAAGTGCTAGGGCTGTGCGAAGCTTCGGTCACTGATTTGATTTGGCGGAGATTCGGCCGGATTCAGCAGCCAAATCTCCAAATCTGAATTGAATCAGGAGACCCGTTAATCTCTCTGAATTGAATCAGAAGCCTCCGATTCAATTCGGAGAGATTTGATGATTTGGACATAGACACGGCTTTAAATATTTTTTCTACATACCTCAAGGTACCAGGTGGTTTGTGAACTCTGAGATGGTGGGGTGGATGGAGTGTCCCACAGGAGCATGGGGGGTGGGGGGGTCCCCAGCATGCTTGGCAGCAGATCCTCCTCCATCCCCCGGCTTGGCAACTGGTGCCTCTTGGGTCTGGGGGGGCACCCAGGGTCCCCCTGCAGCCAATCACTGAGCCGGGGGGGACAGGGGGGGTCCACAACTGAGCACATGGGAGGGCCCCCCCCACACTCCTGTGGGATACTCCATCTGCCCCGCCATCTCAGTGTTCATGAGCCGTGCTTAGTATCTTGAGGTGTGTAGAAAAAACATATAAAGCTCTGTCTATGGCCAAATTGCTGATTCTCCGAATCAAAATCGAATCTTCAGATTCAGCCACATCAAATTGAGACAGTGATCCGAATCGCTGAATCGAATCACTGCCCCCCAAATCAGGCTGAATCTGAATCGAATATAGCCCGCTTTGCACACCCCTAGTAAATGCCCTCTGCCCAATTAAAATGGTACAATTGTTTAATTACCCATGCTGTTAGTTAAAAAAACCAAAAAACACCCAAACTTTAAACTCACACAGATTAGATGCTGAGTGGTTCATAGGAGAGGGACAAGGTTGCATACAATGCCAAATGAGCAGTATACATTTTGGAGGCCCTATTTACACAACTTTTTTCTACTGTTTTATCCATCTCAGTTTATGGTTAAAGCATTAACACCCTCCTTAAAGTGCATGTATACCAGGCAAAAGTAGCTTATGTTGGAATGCTTTATTAAATAAATGCCTTTACCCTGATATAACTGTATCCACAGGGATTGTAGCATTCCAACCATTTTGGTATAAAACTGCATGCACAACTGAAACAGTTAAATGGGTACAATAATGAAGAAGGGTGTAGATCAGGACTTAAATTAACATAGCAAAGGAGCTGTCAAGCAGCTGTGACTCCAAAAGCCATTTGGTGAGAGTGGCACGGCCTTTGATTGAATTTTTCCTAAGTGACTTTACTACTTGGCTGCAGTCCAGCCCTTGAGGTCCTGCCAGCTTCCTCTGATTCAGATGGGAAGCACTGACCAATGGCCAGAAAGTGAGGTGCTAAGGAAAGATTGCTTTTGACAAGCATTAAAAAATAAAAATCCTAGAGCTACAGGATTAAAGAGACCACAGGGCTTTAACTGTGAACTGAAGTGTCTCTACACCATCTCAGTGAAAAAAAGCAAGCTGATATTGGGTCAATGTAGACATGCAATTTCCAGTCTCATTGAATGCCTTACAACTGTTTCCATTTATTAAATAGCCAAGGCTTCAGATGGGTGAATTCCTGTACGTGGGCAGAATGTCACAGACTCTGCAGCAGTCCAGCTATATAGCACCAATTGCAGGATCAGATTCCAAGTTTGTAACAGAAAAAATATATTTGCAAGAGATTTTTTAATTTATAAACAACGTATACTAATCGTATTGCTGTGGAGTGCAGTCATGTTATTTAATGAATAGCAGAATGGTGTGTTGTTGGATGCTGACCCATGAGATGTTCTCTGAAGGGGTAGACAGTTACAGTGATGTAATTACAACAGTGGACTCTAAAATGTAGTGCCGAGATGTTCCATTAGCATAAGAGGAGACTTACCCAGTGCAACTGACTGTGGAAGGATGCACCAGTGCATCAGCTCTGCAACAGGGGCTTATCCCAGTCACAAACAGATTGAGTCTGGAGCTAATTTTCCTAATTAAGGCAAGTCCACCATGAATTAGGTCCTGATACTCTACTGCCTTGGGCTTTGTACACTCCCCTTTACATCTATATAATGTGAGTGAAAAATGCTACCAGTGTGAACAAATGCAGAATTATTGGAGGGCCTTTCACATTCACCTTGACAGGAACAAAAAGGATTGAATACGATGTATGGCAGCGAGATTCAGATCCAAGAACTACTTTTCTATGGTCAGAGGAGGCAGTGAGCCACCAAATGATGCAGAGAAGGCTGAAGTATTTAATGCTTTTTTTTAACGTTGGTCTTCACAGATAGGTACCAGATGACAAGTGCAATTGGAAGCAAAGATAGAGAAGGAAACAAGGAGCTTATAATAGTGGAAGAGCAGGCTAGAGATCAACTGGAGAAGTTAGATGCTTTCAGGCTGGTAGGACTGGATAGGAGACACCCTATGCAATTGGTTAAGGCCATTGCAGAGCCATTGGCTATTGTCTTTAAGAACACACTGAGGTCAAGTGAGGTCCTGGATGACTAGAAAAGGGCAAATATAGTGTTC